TAACGGTAGCACATATACAGAATTTACTTCTGTCATCGGGATTATATAAATAATTAAAATCGTTCATTTCAGTAACATAAATTTTAGAATTAACAGTATAAATTTAATCACTTAATTATCAGCTCAAAGAAGCAATTTGTCCAGAAGGGCTATTAATTTTGTTTTGGCATTTTGCGTTGGTTCACAATACACGGGTTTAACTTTTCAAATTGTTGCCACCAAATATTAGAGCCCTGCAATATATTTGAAGAAATGAAAAATGAAGAATATGCATGAATGTATATTTCTCGCACTGTAAAAAAGCAACGGTACATAGGAACATCCAATTTTGAATAACCTAGTTCTCCACTCGAATGTGGGCATCTGGAAGCCTAAATTTGAAATTTGGATTTTTTTAATATCTATTTCATATTTTATAAAACTTTAACGAATTTTTGATTAACAAACTCAACTATTTTAAAACAAGGAATGGCAACACTGTAGGGAAGAAAAAACGTTTTCATCACCAGCGCGCGAGACTGTGTATCGGAAATTCTACAGGTATGTTCTTTTTAAATTATTTAATGATATTGCTGTTGAATTGACTTTTATGGTTTTAAGTGCAAACAATATTATATTTAATAAATAAAGGTAACACACAAAACGTTATACCCCTTTGGGCGTAATATAAAATCTGAAAGCTTCCAGACTTTTTTTAACAATGATTTAAAGTGATTTTACGCTTTTAAAAGAATTTTTTTCATTATATAACCAATGCATGAGTACCTATAGAAGTCACGAAAAAATTCTTTTTAAATCCATTTTGAAAAAAAAAAAAAAAAAAAAGAAAAAAAAAAAAAAAAAAAAATTGAAAATTTTAGATTTTAAATTACGTCTAAAGGGGCGTTTTTTTTTAAAACGTTTTGTGTGTTACTTTTATTTATTAAATATCATGTTCTTCACGCTTCTTAAAAATGCATAAAATTCAGTTCATGAAGTTCAATGTTCAACAATAAAATCACAAACTATTTAAAATGACAGCCTATCTTTAGAATTTCCGATACACAGGTCCGCGCGTTGGAGATAAAAAGGTTTTTTTTCCCCGTACAGTGTTGCCATTGCTCGCTTTTGAATCGTTGAGTTTGTTACTCAAAAAATTTGTTAAAGTTTTACAAAACTAATTCCAAATTTCAAATTTGGTCTTCCACATGCCCATATTCTTAGGAGGATTACGTCATTCAAAATTCGATGGCTCTGTGTACCGTTGTTTTATCACAATGAGAGAAATATACATCTATTGATGTATATTTTTTCATTATTTAATTTCTTAAAATATAATGCAGGATTCTAACATTTGGCAGCAACAGTTTGAAAAGTGAAACGAACATTTATAGTGATTCAACGCAAAAACACAAAACGAAAACAATAGTTATTCAGGGACAAAGCCCCTTTGGACTAAAAAGAGTCCTTTATTCTGTCCCGTACATATAAATGTCGCGCAAGAAATATCGTCTACATGAATTCAAGAACGGGGAAAATGAATATTTCTGTTAAAATATAATATCCAAAATTTTTCACCTTTTCAATACTTTCTTTTTTTCGTACAAAGAAGTAAAAATACAAATTTCTATTCAAATTATAGCAGCCAGCAGACCATAACAATGTTTACAAGAAAAATATTTCTCGCAACATATTTTTGCCTTCAAAATACATAAATACTCTCCAAAAATAACAACTTACCCCCATAATCTCTTTACTGCTTAAGAGATATTTTTAAAAATGGTTTCCAAAACCTTAACTGTAAACCATATGGCGTGAGCAGAATAAACTAGCGTAGTTCTGAGTGGAGGAAATATGTATTATCGTTATATCTCGCTGCAAACACTGAAGCAGTCTTATCACTTTAAACGTGTTTCATTTAAGGCCGTTCTTATAATTTACTGTTAAGAATGAAGTACTTCTTATGGGCAATGAAGTGTTAAGTACTTTGCTGAAGATAACGGTAGTCTTCAATAAAGTGTGCATCGTTCAGTTTATATTTTCATGTATAATTTTATTTTAAAAAGGCAAGATAAAAAAATCTTTTAATTTAATCAAGGACTTCTCTGCTCATTATAGTAAGATCACAAATTTTTTCAACTGAAGAAAGAAGGCGTTTTAAAGTTTATAAGATGAGGTTTATAGTAAATACATTGAGAAGATCTGGATAAGAATTTAAAAAAATCTGTGGACATGACATGCTTATACACCTTATTAAACTTCATTAAAACTTATTTCCTCGAGTTATATTAGACATATTTCTTATTCAACTAATTCAGTTCTCATTTCGTTGCAAGATAAAGATACATAATACTTGAAAGCATATTCATTAAAAATTCTAAAATAGAGAAAATCTAGAGCACCAAATACGGTAGAAAAATTAATTGTACTATTATAGAGTTTCTACTCAAAAACAAGCTATTAAGCCAGCTGCCAGGAAGGCGAAATTTTCAGTACATAAAATTAAAAGTTAAATTTCTGCCGCATTGGGCAGAAAGACACTATAGTTGGTGCACTGACTGACTTCATTCACTATTCTACTACCAATGTACAATCAGCCGTTTTGATGTAGACCGATTCCATCGAAAAACAAGATGCACAACTACATGTTATAGCAGTCTAAGACACAAAATTTCGAAGTTCTAGGGCTACACGTTTTTGAATTACGCTAGATACATACGCACGTACGTACAGAAGTCACGGAATAAATCTCTTTTGAATCCATTTTAATCCGTTTTGAAAAAAAGAGTTCTTTACTATGTCCATACATACGGATGTCAGGCAAAAACATCATTCAAATGGATTTGAAAATGGTGAAAATTGATATTTTAATTGAAATATAATACCCGAAATTGTTCGCGATTACAATACTTCCTTTATTTTGTAGAAGGACGTAAAAAAGACAAACATGTCCATACGAAAATAATTGAACAGTTATGAATAAAATTTTATTGCGTATATGTTTATACATAATTTCACTTCTATATCCCATGCAGTACATTAGAAATTGAAAATACGGTCAAACGTTAGCAGATGTTTATAGATTACCATTTTATACATACGTTATAAAATTTACATATGATTTTGCAGAGATACATTTTATAGAATTCTGCTGAATGGAAGACTTACATATTATATATTAGCGGAAGTCCCCGATGCCACTTAAGTTAGATTATACATAATTTCACTATGTTTATACATAATTTTACTTCTATATCCCATGCATACATTAGAAATGAAAAATACGGTCAAACGTTGCAGATGTTTATAGATTACCATTTTATACATACGTTATAAAATTTACATATGATTTTGCAGAGATACATGTTATAGAAGTTCTGCTGAATGAGAAGACTTACATATTATTATTAGCGGAAGTCCCCGATGCCACTTAAGTTAGATATATAATTTCACTATGTTTATACATAATTTCACTTCTATATCCCATGCAGTACATTAAAATTGAAAATACGGTCAAATGTTAGCAGATGTTTATAGATTACCATTTTATACATACGTTATAAAATTTACATATGATTTTGCAGAGATACATTTTATAGAATTCTGCTGAATGGAAGACTTACATATTATATATTAGCGGAAGTCCCCGATGCCACTTAAGTTAGATTATACATAATTTCACTATGTTTATACATAATTTTACTTCTATATCCCATGCAGTACATTAGAAATTGAAAATACGGTCAAACGTTAGCAGATGTTTATAGATTACCATTTTATACATACGTTATAAAATTTACATATGATTTTGCAGAGATACATTTTATAGAATTCTGCTGAATGGAAGACTTACATATTATATATTAGCGTCCCCGATGCCCGATGCCACTTAAGTTAGATTGAGAGTAATGATGCAATCCTTATCTAATAACGATGCAAAAAATACGATTCATAGTCATACATTTTTCAGTCTGATGCGATAGGGAATCCACATAAAAAATTTCCGTAGAAAAATAAGTTAATTCTTTCTCATTATATCAGCAACAGTTTTTAAGGACTTTCATCTTTCTAATCAAATGGTCGTAAAAGCTCAAGTTCCATCCAATATTTCACCCATATTCAATTTTAGTCGATTCACTGTGGCAAAAAATGGATCATGATTGATTAGAAATCAATAACACGAACAAACAGACATTCTTCTTTATACGCTTGGATTTTGTAAAACTTAACAAATTTTTGATTAACAAATTCTACGAAAGTGAGCAGTAGCAACACTTTTCGAAATAAAGCATTTTTATCTGCAACGCGCGAGACTGTTGCCACTCGGGAAAATGAGTGCGAAAATGAGCGCTTTCAGAGTTTTCTAATTAATCTTTCGGCTGATTAAAGTCGTACGAAGACGGAAATAGTCGAATTTTTGGAATGGGGAATAATGTATTTAACGTTTGGCAATGCTATTTTTATTTTATGGTAAAACTTGGAAAAATTTTATTAACAAACTCTAGGATTCGAAAGCGAACAGTGGCAACAACTTTCGAAATAAAGTAGAATTTCATCTCCAGCTTGCGAGGCTGTTGGCACTCAGAAAAATGAGGGTGAAAATGATCGCTTTTTCGAGTTTTTAATTAATATCTCTGATTTTAGCTACTTTTTTTTTGGAATAAAGTGGACCCCCGACCTTTTCCAGGACCCAGAAAAGAATTGTAGACGATAGCTATAGTAGTGACTGAGTTATTAAAGGACAGCCAAACACACAGATATAGAATATATAAATACAGCCAAACACAGTTTTTATATATAATTTTACAGAGGTATTTCTATAGAGTATATAACCTATAACCTTTTATAAGAATTCGGCTAGAACTCTATTGGACTGTATAAAAATTGTCGCAATAGAAGTGTTGTACTAAATACTTGAATTCAGTCAGCCTAGTTGATAGCTAAAGTATATCATATTTAGGTAAAGAAGCCATTGCTGATATGTTGCAATCGAATATTTTTAGCCACGTTGCCTTCCTTACCTGTGACGTAGGCGTTGCGCTTCTCGTTCCACCACCCTGTTGCTGACGTAACGCTTCATTCTCCGTTTCCGCTCTCAGAAGAGCCTCCTTCAATTCAACAATCTCCTTGTTCAGCGTGGTTGATAAATTTCGCGCTAAATTCAACTCCTTCTCCAACTCTTTGAATTTACTGCGGTCGACGTCTTGACGAACAGCGGCTTGGTATTCTCGAACCTAAAAATAACATCCAGCAAATTAATGACAGGTTAGCAAATAATAGATGTTATCCATTCATACAAATAGGTATTTATTGTTAGGAAAAATTTTGATTTGAGTTTCGCTGTATGAGAACCTGACAGATGTCTCAAGAGTAAAGTGACCACATTTTCATTGAGACAAAGCGGGACAAATGGAATGAAATGAGAATTGTAATTTAGTTATAAAAAAAGACCAATAATTGAAAAAAATATATTTTATTGTATACATTCATATACAAAAATATATTTATTATTAACTATTGGTAGCTATAAAAATATTTGTAAAAAACTATAATTTGAATACTGTTTAGTTAATTTAAAATTTTATTTCAAAAAATTATGATTTTCTTTCACGATCATATTTTTTATTCCAGTGAATACTTTGGAATATATTCGAATCATTTATTAAAATGTCGTAAAATTTCTCACATGAATTGGTCAAATTATATTTTTCTCTTAATACAGATTTCAAAGTTTTAATTTCAACTGCGTTTTTACAATTGTCCCTATTTTATTGATACTAGAAAAAACACGTTTTGTTGCTGCATTTGTTCCTGGAAGGGAGAGCGCGTGTTCTAAAATTTTCACAATATTTTCATAAGGAATATTATTCTGTTTAAAATGAAGGAACAACTCCGTCCATTTTTTATCAGTTTTCACATTTGCAGACAACTAACATTTAATTTTTTCTTCAGAAACATATCTTTTTACCAATGGCACTTCATCAAATAGATCAATTTCGCAAATATTATTTTACGGAAAATGGTTACTACTATATTAAAAAGATTTTTCCACATATTCCCATAAAATTTCCTTTTTTAATGTCGCCCAATTATTTTATATTAGATTTCTGCGCTTTCACAAAAATCCTTCAAACTTTCAACACGCAGAGTATATATATAAAAATACGAATAAATTTTTGCAATAATATTTTCAAGATCCACTGGAAGTAAGTCAGATGCTGTTTGAGTAGTACTGTATACAGTGTGTGCTGGACAACCTACTCTAATAATTTTTTGGCACAAATGTTCGTTAAGTTTCGTTAAAACGTTATTGATGCCTCTTCTAGCTTTTCCACTAAAATTTGCGTTAGTGTTATCCTAACAAAGGCAATAATTTTATTTATCAAATTATTATTTTTTAAAATTGTACTTATTGAATCAAAAATTATTTCTGAAGTTTCACTCGGCAATGAAATAAAATCTAATATTTTAATTTTAATTCCTGCTTCTGGATCAAAAAGTCTAACAATTGAGGGAAATAATATTAAATCTTTGTGGTTGGAAGCATCATAATATATGAATATAAATGTGCATTTAAAAATTTAATTCTTTCTGCAATTGTGAAAACGAATATAGTGAAAAAACACTACAAATAATTGCTTCGGTTTTTGTCCTTGCACATGCAATTTTTTTGTCTTACAATGTTTTGATCATATACGATGTACAATCAATTGATTTGAAACTTTGATTGTGGTTTATGGTGTGGAAAGCAAATAGCCCTTCAGCTAATGCTAGCTGTTCCTCCGTTAACAATACATATTCCTTAACGAGACATAACGACAATGATCGAACATCACCGAGTAAATCTAACTCGTTACATCGCCTAATTTAGTTTACTCTGCATGCATTTTATATGTTTTTTTATTTATCTGTTTTTTATTTCTTTATATTTACTATAATAATTAATAAATAATAGGTAATATATTTTGACAGTCCATTTAAAATAAGAAATGCAGATGTTTTCTTAAAAAGCGGGACATTTTTAAAAATGGGTGGGACGCGGGACAGTTCTCCAAAACGCGAGACTGTCCCGCCAAAATCGGGACGTGTGGTCACTTTACTCTAGAGGGAAATAGTTTTATGGAGTAAATCTACTAAGTCTAAGACTAAAAGAAAAAAATAGAAATCAAAAACCTTAAATGGTTGGGAAGAGAGATGCTTTCTTACTTTTTAGGCTTTGGTGTGCATCGCACACACACATAAAAAGCTGAAAGATTTCACATTTTAAATTACGTCCAAAGGGACCTATTTTTAGCATTTTGTATGTTGTCTTTATTTATTAAATATCATCTTCTTCGACCTTAAACCGTAAAATTCAGTTCAATAACAATATCGCAAATTAATTTTAAAATGAGTCTATCTTTAGAATTTTCGATACACATAGTCTCGGGCGCTGGAGATAAAAGTGCTTTTTCTTTTTTTCCTCGTACAGTATTGTCATTGCTCGCTTTGAAATCGTTGAGTTTGTTAATCAAAAATTCGTTAAAGTGTTATAAGGTATTTCTCCCACTTCCCTAGCGTGCCTTCGTGGTGTAGTGGTTCTGCACACTGAGCCGGTATTTAAGAGGTCGGTGGTTCGATTCCCGGCGAAGGCGGTTGTTAATTTTTCATTTCTCTGGTCTCCAAAAAAACCTAATGTCTCTACAGTGTTACAAATCATGAAATCGATAATAAAACAAATTTCGAATTCTAAATTCGGGCTTCCAGATGTCCCTATTCGGTGCAAGATTGCGTTATTCAAAACTGGGTGGCTTTAGGTACCGTCGTTTTATCACAATGCGAGAAACACACATACATTTATGCAGATTCTTCATTATTTAATTTCTTTAAATATAACAAGTGATCTAATATTTGGTGGCAATAATTTGAAAAGTGAACCGGCATTTATAGTGAACCAACGCAAAATGCCAGAACGAAATTAATAGCCCTTCTAAGCTAACGCCCTTTGAGCTAAAAAAAGAAAAAGGAAAAAGAAGAGCACACTTCTATATCTCCTGTTCTACTGGGGCGGTTGAAAAAAATTAACTTGCGTTTTTCATGTCTAGATACAATGACATGGGATTTTTATTGATTTATATATATAAGCATTGTTCTAACTTAGGTATTCTGTCACAAAATGGAACTTTTTCTGAAATGTCATATCGAATTTTTTCCATATTTCGATTTTACGATTTATGTTATGGAGAAGTACCCATTCTGGACAGTCGGCCTTCAAATGCCTTGCCTTTCTCTTTAGTCAATGAAACCAATTTTTCGATTTTTATTACAAATACTGGGAATAAGTTGTCAATTTGAGTTAATTATGAAGTAACAGAAATATGTTTAGTTTCAGACATGCAGTTGAGAGACCTACTTTGTTTAGTATTTCTCTTTAGTCAATGAAACCAATTTTTCGATTTTTATTACAAATACTGGGAATAAGTTGTCAATTTGAGTTAATTATGAAGTAACAGAAATATGTTTTAGTTTCAGACATGCAGTTGAGAGACCTACTTTGTTTAGTATTTCTCTTTAGTCAATGAAACCAATTTTTCGATTTTTATTACAAATACTGGGAATAAGTTGTCAATTTGAGTTAATTATGAAGTAACAGAAATATGTTTAGTTTCAGACATGCAGTTGAGAGACCTACTTTGTTTAGTATTTCTCTTTAGTCAATGAAACCAATTTTTCGATTTTTATTACAAATACTGGGAATAAGTTGTCAATTTGAGTTAATTATGAAGTAACAGAAATATGTTTAGTTTCAGACATGCAGTTGAGAGACCTACTTTGTTTAGTATTTCTCTTTAGTCAATGAAAACCAATTTTTTCGATTTTTATAACAAATACTGGGAATAAGTTGTCAATTTGAGTTAATTATGAAGTAACAGAAATATGTTTAGTTTCAGACATGCAGTTGAGAGACCTACTTTGTTTAGTATTTCTCTTTAGTCAATGAAACCAATTTTTCGATTTTTATTACAAATACTGGGAATAAGTTGTCAATTTGAGTTAATTATGAAGTAACAGAAATATGTTTAGTTTCAGACATGCAGTTGAGAGACCTACTTTGTTTAGTATTTCTCTTTAGTCAATGAAACCAATTTTTCGATTTTTATTACAAATACTGGGAATAAGTTGTCAATTTGAGTTAATTATGAAGTAACAGAAATATGTTTAGTTTCAGACATGCAGTTGAGAGACCTACTTTGTTTAGTATTTCTCTTTAGTCAATGAAACCAATTTTTCGATTTTTATTACAAATACTGGGAATAAGTTGTCAATTTGAGTTAATTATGAAGTAACAGAAATATGTTTAGTTTCAGACGTGCAGTTGAGAGACCTACTTTGTTTAGTATTTCTCTTTAGTCAATGAAACCAATTTTTCGATTTTTATTACAAATACTGGGAATAAGTTGTCAATTTGAGTTAATTATGAAGAGTAACAGAAATATGTTTAGTTTCAGACATGCAGTTGAGAGACCTACTTTGTTTAGTATTTCTCTCTAGTCAATGAAACCAATTTTTCGATTTTTATTACAAATACTGGGAATAAGTTGTCAATTTGAGTTAATTATGAAGTAACAGAAATATGTTTAGTTTCAGACATGCAGTTGAGAGACCTACTTTGTTTAGTATTTCTCTTTAGTCAATGAAACCAATTTTTCGATTTTTATTACAAATACTGGGAATAAGTTGTCAATTTGAGTTAATTATGAAGTAACAGAAGTATGTTTAGTTTCAGACATGCAGTTGAGAGACCTACTTTGTTTAGTATTTCTCTTTAGTCAATGAAACCAATTTTTCGATTTTTATTACAAATACTGGGAATAAGTTGTCAATTTGAGTTAATTATGAAGTAACAGAAATATGTTTAGTTTCAGACATGCAGTGCAGTTGAGAGACCTACTTTGTTTAGTATTTCTCTTTAGTCAATGAATGAAACCAATTTTTTCGATTTTTATTACAAATACTGGGAATAAGTTGTCAATTTGAGTTAATTATGAAGTAACAGAAGTATGTTTAGTTTCAGACATGCAGTTGAGAGACCTACTTTGTTTAGTATTTCTCTTTAGTCAATGAAACCAATTTTTCGATTTTTATTACAAATACTGGGAATAAGTTGTCAATTTGAGTTAATTATGAAGTAACAGAAATATGTTTAGTTTCAGACATGCAGTTGAGAGACCTACTTTGTTTAGTATTTCTCTTTAGTCAATGAAACCAATTTTTCGATTTTTATTACAAATACTGGGAATAAGTTGTCAATTTGAGTTAATTATGAAGTAAGTAACAGAAATATGTTTAGTTTCAGACATGCAGTTGAGAGACCTACTTTGTTTAGTATTTCTCTTTAGTCAATGAAACCAATTTTTTTCGATTTTTATTACAAATACTGGGAATAAGTTGTCAATTTGAGTTAATTATGAAGTAACAGAAATATGTTTAGTTTCAGACATGCAGTTGAGAGACCTACTTTGTTTTAGTATTTCTCTTTAAGTCAATGAAACCAATTTTTTCGATTTTTTATTACAAATACTGGGAATAAGTTGTCAATTTGAGTTAATTATGAAGTAACAGAAATATGTTTAGTTTCAGACATGCAGTTGAGAGACCTACTTTGTTTAGTATTTCTCTTTAGTCAATGAAACCAATTTTTCGATTTTTATTACAAAATACTGGGAATAAGTTGTCAATTTGAGTTAATTATTATGAAGTAACAGAAATATGTTTAGTTTCAGACATGCAGTTGAGAGACCTACTTTGTTTAGTATTTCTCTTTAGTCAATGAATGAAACCAATTTTTCGATTTTTATTACAAATACTGGGAATAAGTTGTCAATTTGAGTTAATTATGAAGTAACAGAAATATGTTTAGTTTCAGACATGCAGTTGAGAGACCTACTTTGTTTAGTATTTCTTTGAAAATTTTTTATTGAAGTCATTTCAATGTAAATACTGCCGACGTCCTATGCAGTTTTCGAATATGAATCATTTGCTTGCAACGCTAAAAATCATCTTAACGTATGTACTGGAGTGCGGCAAGAAATCCAGTTCAGTTTCCACCCTGGACCTTGACTTCAATATCACTAAAATTAGAAAACTGGGGATATCTACCTAACATTTCCTACAATTAATGAAATATGAGAAAAAAATTAAGATAGTCACTGTCCCTACAATGGCCGAGTGCTTAAAGCCTTGTTGAATGCTTAAAATTCGTCCTGAGTTCGAACTGAGGCGGGTTTTCGGGGTTTCTCCGATGCCAGTGAGCCAGTTTTCCTGATAAAGTTATAAGGTATTTCTCCCGCCTTCTTAGCGTGCTTTCCGGGTGTAGTGGTCTGCATGCTGGGCGCGTATTCCAGATGTCCGTGGTTCAATTACTGGTGAGGGCTTTGCGCATTTTTCATCTCTCTGGCTTCAAAATAACCTAATGTCTCTTCAGTGGTGGCCCGAACTAAAAGGGTGATGAATGATAATTCTCCTCACCCAGGATTTGGCGTTTGGGTCACCTAAAACCTTGGTTGCCCTTTAAAAGAAAAGTATATAAGCCCTCCTTCTTAACATACCTTTGTAGTGTAGTGGTCAGTACGCTCGATGTGTATTCGAGAGGTCCGTGGTTCGAGTCCCAGCGAAGGCGTTGCTCATTTTTCATCTTTCATGCTTCCAAAAAATCCTAATGTCTCTACATAGGCACATACCGTCCATCTGCTTTGCGATATTCAAATAACAAAATCATTGAGAAGAAATTATTAGGAACACCTGACTAAGTGATAAAAAGCACTTGCTATCGCAAGTGTTATGAACAGTACTATTCATAACACTTGCGTACTATGATCTGCTATATTAAAGCTGCATCGGAATGAGCAATAATTATGTTGAAAAATGCTTAAAAATAAACTTAATTTCTATAAAATTAAACAAAAGTTTGAGTTCCTCGTGCTTATGCCAACCCTATCGAGCATAATATTCTAACACCATAAAAATTACCTTATCTTCCAAACTGTGTCTGTCAAGTTCCAGGAGTTCACATTTCTTTTCCGCTTTTCTGAGCTTGAACTGCAATACCCGACAGTTTTTGGTGGCAGTTTCGAGTTCTTTTTTGAGACCGCGAAATTCGGATGCTTGATCTTCTCGAAAATTGTCATGAAGTTCTTCAAGCTCTTGTTCTAAATCTCTCACCTGGAAATCAAAAATATGTTCCCGTTTAAAAATGGAATAATATGTAAATATTTATAAAAGTCTTCATAAGGAGATTGTACAAAAAAAATGCAATGTTTAACATATAAAAGCAAATATATGAAACTTATATAAAGAACAGGAATATTCTGTATAATTTTTATAAAGAAAAAAAAAATTATTTCTTTATAAAGTATTTCTCCCGCCTTCTTAGCAAACCTTCATGGTTTAGTGGTCAGCATGTGCGACGCGAATTCGAGAGGTCCGTGGTTCGAGTCCCGACGAGGGCATTGCTCATTTTTTCCTTCTTCCTGCTTCAAATATACCTAATGACTCTACAATGGCGTCCGAACGAAAAGGCGGTGAATGATGATTTTCACCACCAGGATTTGGCGATTGGGTCCCCTAAAACTTCAGTCGCCTTTTAAAAGGGGGTATATAAGGTATTTCCCCTTTCTTAACATGCCTTCGTAGTGTAGTGGTCAGCACACTCGACGCGTATTCGAGATGTCCGTGGTTCGAGTCCCGGCGAGGGCACTGCTCCTTTTTTATTTCCTCCCGCTTTCAAAAAATACCTAATGTCTCTACATCTTAAATATAATTAATTAATATTCTCTATTTACTATTAAATAGTGAAGAATGTGTAATTGCGTACGTACATATGTATGTTCTTCACATTATGTAAATACAGTGGCATCTAAAGTTACCAAATTTTAAAGAAATGTAGCCTTTCACCCGAGCATGTACACCTCAAAGCCAGGTTTTTGAATTTGGTTTTAATATGTTTCATACTTTGTACGAATTTAATGAATTTTTGATGGACGAACACAGCTATTAAAAGCGAGCAGTGGCAACAGTGATTGAAATCAGCCACGACACGTTACGATATAACGTCATGACTTATCACGACCGCTGCCACAGACGGTCTTCCGATTGGTTTTGCTTACATTCTAATAGGTGTTGTCTACATGTTAGCTGCATCACTGAATGTTTATAAGTCTTCTACCTTCTTCTAGTTTTAATACTTAACATAAAATATTTTCTATTTAGGATATAAAAAAAAATCGCAAGGATTTTCAAATAAATGTTTCAGATTTAATAAAATCTAGATATTTGAAAATGTGTAAAGGGTAACTATAAGAGCAAATGCATGCATCGTAAAATCTAGAAGACGAGTGAAAGTTTTAATGGTATTTTATGAAAATTATGCCCAAAGACACTTTTCGGAGTATGCGCACGTTGATATTTGCTCTCAAAGTCAGTGGAATTTTATTTATTAGTACGTTTCGAAGTCTTATCCGTACTCTGTGCGGCAACCATGATAAGTCGTGACGTCACGTTGTTGATATTTTCTTGGCTTCACATTCGTAATGCTATCTTTACTCCTTCTATTCTAACCTTCTTGATTTCAATAAAACATTTTTATATCCGGCTAGTCAGATTGTTGTCATTCGACAAAATGTAAGATATTCATCTCTTGCTCTTAGACAAAAAAACTTCGCTATTAAAGGAAATATGTTGCCACTGCCTGAAATAAGATATTTTTAACTTTTATGCGTCAACACGCACACTGGCATTCGGCAAAACGTGAGATACTTAAATTTCAGATTTAATTTACCTTGTAACAGACCTATTTAAGTGTAATTGAACTATTTTATTCACGCCATGAACTCATGAACTGTAACCGAACTATTTTATTTAAACGCCATCTCGTGGCGATATGAAAAAACGTCAGTCGACCTCCAGCCGCCATGATGATAGCTTACTATGTTATGTTATTCTCAATGTTTGATGTTCCATTTCGTTTATGTTTCATTTTTATATATATTTCTTTTGTTTGTAACCGTTCCTGTGTGCTCTGTTAATAAATCCTTTTAAAGCTAGCCGGCATTAGTGTCTATTGAGGAACGGCTACATCACATTGGCGCCCAACTAAATTTGAATCCAAAATGGCGCAACAAAATGTTTAGAATTTCTGTTTGGCTTTAACAAGCTCTTACTCCCGAATTTAACTTTTAGTTGCTGGAGATCGGCTCAGTTTCTTTTCAGGTGTGGACTACTGGTCAAATATTCTGGAAACCAATTCTGGAATTAAAATTGTCATACCGTGCTGCTAGCACATCGAATCATCAACTGGACAATTTCAACGGAAAAGATAAGTTTCGTTTACATTATCGTTTAATCTGAGTTTAAAGTTCTTTTAAACTGATTATTTATTATAAGCTGCTTCTTCTTAAAGCAAATGTAAATTCTTTACTGAAATCTCATTTATTGATACTACATAAGAGTATTAAACGAAAGCAAACAGGCTTTCTGTTAACCAAACGTTATTTCTTGAATTGTAATTTGTTATTTTAAAATGTTAATGCGCATAGTAAATTAATTTGTGAATAATATTGTTTCACTGAATACATGTTTTGATGTTAAAGTTTGAATATATTCATGGACGTTGTTCATTAGAATTTATTAGTTTCGATTCTGACATACAGCAGCAGATGTTTTCCCCCCCCGCGGAAATGTTTAGACTAGCGATGATTTATGATGTGTTTACGTCAAATCTTTTATTATTTTTATTTCCTTTGAGTGCTGTTGTTCCTTATTAAATGTTTTATTCTACATAAAATAAAATATTGTACTTGTTGATTTATCTTTCGACGAACATTTTGAGAAAATGATTATAGTATAATACTTTAAGAAAATACGATTGTTTTCCTTTAATGAATGCATGTCTTGAAAATATTTCTTGAAGCGAAAGAAAATAATTATGAATAAAATCGAATGACTATTTAAATAAAGTAAAAGAGTTACTAAGTGTGTGTTGCTTAATCAGCTTAATATTTTGTTAAGATTAAGATTTCGAAGAATTCAGCTTAAATATAAAAGCTTATGGTAAGACATTTATGTATGTTTTATGTTTTGCTAAGTAGTAAACAATTTTTGAGCAATTTATTATATGTTATTTTCTTGATACAAGTTGAATTTATGAGGGCATTTTATGATATTTTTACGACTCCGAAATAATAAACTTTGTGAGTATTATTGTTTACATTTATAAATACTGTTTAATAGTGGTATATAAATGTACGAGTAACATTGTTTACATTCATACATGCTGTTTAATAGGGGTATATACATTTTACTTAAAGGTATAATTATTAATTCTAAAATACTGTATTGTGAAAAATCGAAAATCGAACAAAACAACAAATTCAACTTCATCTTTTCCCTCCCCCCTGACCTCTCATATAATTATGGCTTACCTTGCCAAAGCACGAAAAGAGGATTTAAAAACTCTCGCTGCAGAACTGGGTTTCACTGTAAACGACACTATGCGAGTAATAGATCTTAAAGATCTTATTGTCAATTCTGACACTTATGATGAGGCTTTTACCAGGAATCTTCTGGAAACTTTAATCGAAACTAGACAACAAAAACAACGTGAAAGCAACGATCTGGAGACACGTCAAAGAAAAGAACAAGAACTTTTATTAGAATTGGAACGTTTAAAATTAAACCTGGCAGCTGCTAGCTCAAACCCTAACTATGCCGCCTTTGCTTCAAATGCAGCTATTGGAACAAATATTCAACACCTAATCCCTAAATTTACAGGAACTTCTGACATTGCAACCTACCTGCAAATTTTTGAAAGACAATGTGAGAAAGTTAATATAAAACAAATAGATTACATCACTCATCTCCTACCTCTTCTGCCTATAGACATTTCATTTCGCAAATTATTTTAAGAGAACCAAAAGACAAATTAGAAGATTATTCTTACATCAAGAAGATTCTGCTACAAAGATTCAAATTAAATGCTGAATCATTTCGAATTAAACTTACTACACACCAAAAACACCCTGGGTCTTTATGGAAAGATTTTACTTACGAATTAAACAATTATCTCGAAGAGTGGCTCCATAGTCTCGATGTTACAGACTTTGAATCACTCAAAGACTTGGTCCTGACGGATCAGCTTAAAAGAAGAGTCAGTAGTGACGTTAAGGAGCATTTTATTGATACTTGGGGAAAAATAAAGAGTTCATCTGAATTAGTACAGAAATTGGATGATTATGAAGCTGTACGTGTTAAAAATACGAACTATAAAACTCAACTTCCTGGCAGGCGGAACTATTCTTACAAACCGACTAATCCATCCAAACACAAAGTAGAAAATCGAACAAGTGACATACAGGGAACTCATAAAACCTTTTCAAATCGTGTTCAGCAACAAACAGAGGAAAAGCGACCTCCTTTAACATGCTATGGGTGCGGAAAAACTGGTTTTATCAAGTCTAAATGTCCAGACTGTAACCCCCCAAAGACTTCAAATTCATCAAATTTTGGCACTATCCAAATCCGATCCTGTTTATCTTCCACTCGGACTGCTGTATTTCCAATTAGTATTGGTGGTGTTTCCGGTACAGCTTTCGCCGACACTGGTGCTAGTCACTCAATTGCAAGTGAATCCCTCTATCATATTCTGCAAAAACAAGATGCAGTATTTGAAAAGACAACACTACAGGTGTCTTTCGCTGATGGTTTGGTATCTGAAAAAGAGGTACTTCGCACCGAACAAATCATTCTTCTCGAAGGCAGAGAGTTCAAAACTCCGCTCCTTGTGTTGCCTGATGCCAAAAATAACTCGACTCTGTTAGGAACTGACTTTCTTCAAAAAGCTAAAATTGTTTTAAATCTTGCTGAAAATAAGTGGAACTTTTCTGATGAACCTCGAAGAAAATATAGCTTCGTGAAACCTCATCAATCCCAAGTACTGGAAGAAACCCCAGTTGTTGTAAACAACTGCCGACTACGAGAAAATGAAGGACAGCAATTAACTACAGCCCAACGGCTTGCAACTGATGCATTGCTTAACAAATATCACACTGTCTTCAAAGTAGGGGGAGAAGCCACTAATCAAAAGCCATCTGGCTTTACTTCAAACTCCAGTCTATGCTCAACGTTTTGAGAACCTTGTCAATTGATCTTTTCGGTCCCCTTCCTGA